CAGGATGCCTCCTGGACGCCTCGCTGGTGAGGTTTTCCGGGCACGTCCAACCAGGAGAAGACCTAAAGGTAGACCCAGGACACGGTGGAACGCCTTGGGATTCCCCCGTAGGAGCTAGCCCAAGTGGCTGGGGAGAGGGAAGTCTGGGCCTCTCGCCTTAGGCTACTTCCCCCTCGACCCGACTCTGGATAAGCGGATGAAAATGGATGGATGGCTGAAAACTACAATTTTTTGCTTGAATAAAATGGATCATTTATGTAATAACAACATTAACACACAAATAAAGTAAAACATCTGTCTAATATGTGACTTAGGGTAGAAAAAAACTTTGTTCACGCTTGAGGCATTTTCTAATAGCATGTCCAAAATGAAAATGTCTAAATATTACAAAACTGGAATTTTTATCAATTAAATATCAAGAAATATGTATAAAATGTTCTGCTCTGTGCTTATTGCAATGCACTGTCTATTAATAGAAACTAAACTCCTACACAGTTGCGTCTCTGAGGCATAACAACATGCACTGAAAACACCGTTGATTTTGCTGCACAGTCATGTTTATCTTTGGAGACCTCATCAATCCCCTTTAAGTTTGTGCTGAGATCTGACTTTGTTTTTTGCTCCAGAGGTCTTTTAGAGCGTTGACTATAGACTTTGCAGCTGGATTGGTCTAAAAGACGCCAGCAGCTACCCAGCAGTCCCCTCACACTGCTCATCTTCATCAGTCATCACAGAGGGTGATATTATTCTTGCTGCTTTGATCAAACAATGACAGCAAAACACAACTGAGGCAACATCTAATGAAAGAAAATTAGACTGTATTAATGTTTGATAATATTAATCAGAGGATCAGCGGATTCTTTGGAGTCCCACGAGAACGCCTCAGCTGGAGGAAAAACACACTAATGACTATGAATCTTAGACCCATCCATCATAAATGTGAACGCTGAAAACAGATGGACAGAATCACGACGTGAAGTATGAAAACACCCATTTATTTACGTCCTGTGGGAGTTTTGACAGAACTTCCAATCAAAAACCAGATTGCACAACGGTAACTAGGAAAGACAACTAAGAGCTTGGCGAAATGGTTTTTCACATTGTGCTGATGTGAAAAGTACGAGAAAGAGAGTGCCGCTGTCAATACTCGTTCGTCTTATGGGAAATCCAATTTTTGCGACTCCATCGCCGACGGTGCAACAATAGTGCTGGAGTTTGTCACAATGGCTTCATCTTTAGTGTCTTTTCTGGGTGGATGAGTGATGGATGGACAGACAGATGGCTGTGCATTTCTTTTAACTTAAAGCAACTCAACTATGAGCAGCATCAGACACGCAGAGACCTCAAAAGATGACCTCCAACAAAAGGTTGCAGATGTTCAACCAAAGCCAAAAATAGAGACAAAAATAAAACGTATAACAAAACATCACAGGATTTACAAAGGCTTTTTCCTGCTATGAATACCTCTGCTCTTGTTTGCATCTTCATCAAATGCTAACAACAATTATGTATTTTTTTCCACACAAAAAATGTCCAGATCAATATCTAGTTTTCGCTCAAAGGTAGCATTGGAGATGCTAAAATAGCTAGTCAAGCAAGCTACTTTTAAAAAAATCCCTTTTTTCAAAGATCCAACCCCTTTTTTGCAGGTTTTCCCCCCAACCCCTGCACGACACCCCCAGAATATTGTGCAATACTTGTTCCTGAGGGTTCCGTTTTACGTTTCTGACCTGTTGTTAGAGCTGTTTTCTGCCATAATTCCTAATGTAAGACACTTCTGTAACCATATAACAACAGTAAAAAACCACAAAGTAAAAAGATCCACACTGTTGGACAAAATGTATTATTACTTACAATTCCAGAGACAACAAAGGTAGGTTACCATCTGTCTGTGATTTTGTAGCCTCCTTTAGCTCCCTCAAACTAGTGGAGGCTGCACCGATGTTCTAGCCTGGCCTGCCAGACTAGTCCTCAGTTTAACTCTGCAGAGAATGAGTCTGGTAACTCTCCCATGTAAATAACCCAACCCCTGAGAATTCTAACCGAGCCAATCAGCACTGAGCAGAGTACGTCTGGTTACTCTAAGGCAGAGAGACACATGAGAGGCGGGACTAACCAGCTCAAAAATAACCAATCAGAAAAAATTTGGAAATGTCGACTGTGCCACACGACTCTGTAGTCTTGTAGATGTAGTCAAAAATGGCGCCTGGCGAAGGCGCAAACATCTTTCTACAGATGAAAGACTTTTAGCTGTTTTTATTTTGTTGTTGTTGTGGTTTTAAAGACATGTCCAAGAGGAAAGAGCCGCTGCAAACGTCACTTCAAACGCCGTCAATGTTGTTTATGAGAAACTGAGTGTTGCGGTGTGTGACATACGCTGCTCAGTGCTGATTGGCTCGGTTATGATTCTCAGGGGGTGGGGTTATTTGCATGGGAGTGCTACCAGACTCATTCTCTGAGCAGAATTAAACAGAGGATGAGTCTGGCAAGCCTGGCTACTGATGTTCATTCTGGTTTTAGCGATTTGCAATTTTTTTAAATTTTTGCCAAACGAAGTCACGACAGCTGATGGAGTCCTGTTAGCTTAATCCAGAGAAAAATGTGTATTTTAATGCCTGCTCTGACACAGAGGAAACTTTAACTGTTTATAATTATACTTATGATGGACCAAAACCATAAAGTTACGAGTTGCTGCGCGCCCCAGAGAGCAGAGACAAACCAGAGGGAGAAACGATCGGCCAAAGCAGAGAGATTGTGGAGAAGCAGCAGGCGAGCAGCAGGTGTCTTGTGAGTTTGCCATGTTAGCTTAAACTCGTGTGCTAACATCACAATATAGTACAGATTACTATCATGTAGCCGAACAATTAAAATAGTATTGGTCAGTTAATATAATATTAATACTAATTAGCGTCTGTCAGCTGTCTCATACTCGTTAATATCCGTTCACGTAACGTAGTTTAGCACTTAGAGAGAGGGAGAGATGCTTGTTATCTGGTTCTGGAGCTCATGCGGGTTTCTGTGAGCTGGATCCAACCCAGACACCAGCTCGGCTGGCTCAATAGTATTTTTAAAAGCCGCGCATCCTCTCCTGGAGGTCTGCGGCTGTTCTGATCTGGTTTCGACCCAGAAACCAGCTCCACTGGCCCGCTGAGCAGCGCGTATCTTCTGGTGGTCGGTTCTGACCTGGTTCTGACGGTGATCTGAGCTTCGGAAATCTGCATTTAATTTTTCAAACCCCACCACGAGTCTCCGGAGCCTAGCGCGGACCTCCCTGTCCCGTTACCGACCGATGTGGCCTAAAGAAGTCTATCTTTTCAGCTGCACAAAACACCCACAGGCACAGAGATAGAAGCATTGTTCCTCTTATTTGGAAACCTGTGGAGTCGATGTCCAGACAGGCTGGAGTTGTTACAGCCTTCACAAACAATAGTTTATCACAATGAACACAATCCAACACTAGTAAACACACACACTGACTGGATCACATGACCTCTCTACCCTAAAACTAGCCACTCTCCACACTGAGCTGAGGCAGTGCCTAGCTTCTAACTCCCTTTGGTTACGTCAGAGGTTCAGATTTAGAAAAAAGAGCCTTTTTAGAAGCTTTGCTGAGAAAGGCCACTGTTTACTAGAAAAACTCTGCTGTTATGTATTTTAAAACCAAATTTCCACAACAAGTTTTTCAAATAGTATTTGGACAGCATTTTATATGAATTAGGGAAAAAAACTGCTATTTGCTCTTTAAAGTAAAAAAAAAAACTATTCAGTGTTACTTTAAGAACGAAATATTCACAATAATTGGATGAGGTTTTTCCAGGACTGTGCATTTCAGAGGCGATTACTAGTAGTCATTCTTTTGAAAAAACATTGAATTTATTAGTTGCCATTGTTGTGTGAATGTAGCAAAAAAAAAAACTCCATTAAAAACACTGTCCACTCAGCCTTCAGATGAAGTAAATGTGTATATATAATTATTTATGCAACATCATGCTTTCATAGCATCACACAACCCCAGACGAAGACTTCTTGTGTAATAAAACCACAAGCTGGAAAATCTCGGATGCTTGCCGCTCTGACAGTTCCCTCCACTGTGATGATGACAAGGGGAGGACAGGACGATATACAGCTGATGTAAACAGACACACACTTCCTCTCAATAAACTCACTCTCCAAATTAATACCTTACTCATTCCAGAGGGTCTGGTTTTTTTGGGGGGGGGGCTGGCTTTCTTAGGGGTAATTTGCATTCATCAGTGGAGTTCACAACAGAAGACTGACCACAAAAGTCAAGTCACAGAGTTGATCACATTTAGATTAGCTTTGACACTTTCAAGGATGTAGCAAAAAACACACATGGCCCACAAAACTAGGCTAATTAGCCACAGGGACAAAGTGGCAGACTTGCCAGCAAGAAGTAAAGTGTGAGATATGCTCAGAGGCAGGGTGGTGAGCAGACTCAACCAGGAGGTGTGTGTGTGTGTGTGTGTGTGTGTGTGTGTGTGTGTGTGTGTGTGTGTGTGTGTGTGTGTGTGTGTGTGTGTGTGTGTGTGTGTGTTGAGAATGGACCTGAGAGCAGTCAGACTCTGCTTTCTTTACCTTTTTCTTTGAGCTGCAGCGAGATGCACATACTGTACCCAGAGGTTACTGATCCCTCACTAGACTGGAATGATAATGAGAAAGAGTGAAGGGAGAATATTCATAGGCTGTCACATTTATTTGGGTTCTTCAACAGACTGAGGTGTTGCTCTGGGTAGGCTTCTGGAAGTGTTTGATGGCTGCTCAGGTGATTTAAATCGGATTTATTCCTTTAGAGATGAACGGAAAAGAACATTTATGCGTCATTAGGTCACATTTACATTATCGCCAAGAGTGCACCTGTTGAGGTAGACTGATGAATAACTACGGAATTAATACTTTAAACGAGTTTCTGCAACGAAACATGAAAGCTTACATAAAAAATGTCATTTTTTATTTTAAAATTTTACTTTTTAAATTCTTACCTTGAGTGTTTCAATGCCGAGAGTTGCAGACTGCTCCATTTTACGTCCTCATGCGTCCTTCACATATTTCCACTAAATTGGCACGAGATAAAATTTACGCACGAGCGCTCAATTCCGTCTCCAAACAGCCCATTTCCTCTGATTGTCTAATAAAAAGGCTCAAATATTTAATGAAACTTAGTATTTTCATGTACCTATTTATTACAAACATATCTGAGGTGTGACATGAGCGGACACTGGTGTAGCGACCTGCAGGTACGCGAGCTCAGGTGAGAGCCGTGCTCACTTTCTAACGGTCCGCTCCTCTTCAAAAACTCGGGGCGATTAAAGTAGACGTAATGACGCACAGCGCTTCCGGTATAAATTTTCAAAACAAAAACAATTGTTTTGTTGCTGAAATTCGAAAACGTCTGTTTATAGAATATATAACAATGCAATTCGTCTCTTAGATTACATTTAAATTAAATGATAATTTCATTCTTAACCTTTTCTTGGCAACATTTTATTTGGTGTCTGCCTGATGGAATATTTGTAAATAGCAATTGTTATGAAACAGTTGAATGTGCCTTTTTGTGCAAATGACAAAAAACAAAGACATTTTTTTGTAGATTACATTTATTCGTGTTTGTTTTGAATGACTGCTGTACGGTCACATGGTTTAGATTTATTTAAAAATTGATGATTTTAACATTTTTCCTCCTTGTCATGCAATATCAGATCTATATCAGTTATGTGCAAACCAAAAGGCTTTTTGCAAAGAGAATATGACCAGTTTACTTGTAGTTACAGGTTCCATTTCTGTACTGACGAGAACAAATGACGAGAATTGACATGTCAATTATTTTTATTTTGACAAAACTTCCTATCTTTTTCCGGTTTGATCCAGAATTTTTCACGTAACCAAAGAGGGATTCTTCTTTGCATTTAGAGTTCTAGCATTCAAAAGAAGAACCCATCCGAATCAAAATCAACTAAAAATAATGCAATAAACACAATCACGTTCATGGTGGATTTTTAAGGTTTTGTGTTCATTTGACGTTCATTTTATACATTTTAATCTATGGATGTACTCATGATGATAAACTGGGTATTGGTGCACTCTGCAGGAGGCTCAGGCACAATGCAGCAAACGATTCAACCCACGATAACAGTATGCTATGCACAGGTTAAAAATATATGTCTGTAAATATTCATTTTAATTACTTTAATCTTCATTTGTGTACAATAGTTAGAAAATATGGTGGTAAACTTGATTTAAAAATGTTAGAAAAACAAAATGAATGTAATTTTTTATCTGCTAAAATGTATACAAGCTTTTATTTAAAGAGCAAGTCAACCCCTACCATATTCTAACTCCACTCCCACTTCATGTTTGAAAAATGCAACAAATGCTGTTGCCTGGCAGACCGAGAGGGCAGAGCTGCTAACAAATACACACACAGGCTCAGGACAGCATTGTGACATCATAATGTACCAGATGACATCATAGCATACCTCTTAGCCAATAGCGGTGGCAGATTTAAATTAGAATACAGTGCAGAGTTTTTACCGGACAACGGCACAACTGCCAGTTTTAGGCAGAATATTTAAATTTTAACTAAGATGCACTGAAGTGCCAAATTATTGACGACACGTGTCTGCAGCACGATTAGACACTCGTTTATTTAGTTTATCAGCAAAAAAAGTTTATTTGGGGGTGACTTGCTCTTTAAGTAAGACAAGAAGAAGAAGAAGAAGAAGAAGACGCTTTATACATTTTAGATCTGTACAAAATTGCACACAATTTTAAAAATGACCCAAGCGCAACCAATTTTATTAGTTCTAGAAATGAAGTATACATAATTGATCATCCTGACTTCTTTACTTAATGTGTTTTTGCTATATCACTAAAATGACGGTAGAGGGCGCCATCGTAGCGTCTTGTTATCCTAGAGCTCAAACTGCAGGATTAATAATCAACTGGCGAGCAATCAATTTGCTGTCGACAGGATGTCCGACCCCAAGCCAGCGGTTGCACAGAAAAGGTAAAGGTTAAGTACTTTTCTTAGTCTTTTATGCTTATTTCTGAACATAAGTAGTTTTCAAAAAGTTTAAATGTAATTAAAAAACAAGTAAAATCACCAATAATGCAATTTATGAAAGAGAAGCCTACGTGAAAATTACATCATTTTGACTGATGAGGTTATCAGTACATTCCTGTTGCAAAACGATGCCTTTTATTTGAAATTTTCTGTAAAACTATTTTGCAGTGGTAAAATCGCAGCTGGAGCAGTTGTGTGTGTTGGGAGTGAAATAAGAGGAGATGTTACTATTGGTGAGGCTTTTACCATTACATTTATTAATATTTCTCTGTACATAAATGAGTGATAATCTCCCCGTCGTCATAGGTGCTAGAACAGTGGTCCACCCCAAAGCTCGGATCATAGCAGAAGCAGGGCCCATCATTATTGGGGAGAGGAATCTGATAGAGGAGCAGACCCTGATTATTAACAGGTAGGTGTGGAGTTGTAGCAAGCTGTATTCTCAAGCGTCAGGATCTTCCTGATCATGTTTGTTGTTTACAGCTTTCCTGAGAATGTGCCAGCCGCAGAGAGAGCTGAGCCTGTAACAATGATCATTGGGACCAACAATGTGTTTGAAGTTGGATGTGGTAATTTTACTGTATTATTTAATTATTTGCCATTACAGTGGTAATCCACTAGGGGGCGACACACCCTGTATTTGGTGTGAAATTTCACATGGAAATTTTGGATTTGTAAAGACCTCATATTAAAAAGCCAACTGTAAAAAAAACAGTAATATACACATTTTTTTGTTTAAATATAACATAAGTATTATTAATTTTTAATAAATATAAAAAACAGGTCAGAGTTGAACAGAATTACATACTATAGTGCAAGAATCCAACGTCCTGCTAGTTTTCTGTGCGTTTTGACAGTTTTAGTTAGCTAATTTGTTAATTACAATCTTTTATTCTGTCACAGTGTCTCGGGCATTGAAAATGGGAGACAATAATGTGATTGAGTCCAAGGGTGGGTGTCTGTTTGTGTGTTTTTATTTTAATTTTGTTCATTTCTTTAAAATGTTTAGTCTGCAATGAGCTCTGGAACTTTTGAAGTGTGTTTTTCTGCGAAAAGAGCATGAGGAATGATCATCTTACCTGTTGTATATAGCTCATGGAATGACCTCAGGTTGGAGAAGCAGAGATTTGACAGATGAGCTCATGGCTAAGCTAGATGAGGTCATCTACAAAGTGTTTCTGCTGCTAGAAAACAACTCCAATTTCAAATATGTCGCAGCAGTTAATGCAACGTTATTTTATACATTTTAAAGCACGGTAAATTTCAAATCATGTGGTTAATTACATAGATTTTTGTTATTTGCAGCAGAAATTAGCTGTGGAGCTAGCTACTTTAGCACAACAGGCTGGAAGTTCATAGCAAATATGTTGGAATAACCACAAAATGTAAAGGTTAAAACAGTAAGTACAAACTGAGTAGAAATGTTTGAAACAGAATTTTTTGGGCCACTTTGTAACCGGCCCTATTATCATTAGCTGTTAGGTCGTGTGTTTAGTCAGAGTACACTCTTAAATTATTGTGTACTTGACAAGTACATTCTTGGAAAGTACAGTAGAACATCCATTCTAGTACGATAGGAAGAGGGCAGCATTTGGAGCAGAATCATGTTCTTTGACGTCATGGCAACAGGTGCTGTGTTGTGCTACGCTTAGAAATAAATAGAACATAATATGTAACAGAAATAAAAGGCAACACTTGTTTTGTTTTGATACTTTTAGCACTTAGCAGGACTGTGAAGAGTTAAAAAAACACACACACACACACAGCAAACTTTACAGGTTATACCCCAATGTTCTACAACAACAAACAACTTTAGATTTATTCATTCGTTTAGACAATTATTAGTGTTCTTGATATAAAACAATACAGTTATGAGCTTTCTCCTCTGCCATTCTTCTTCGGGGTAAAACAGTTTGTGACGCCATGCATTATGGGATACCATGTTGGCCCAAATCTTCAGAAGGATGAGTTCATGTGACCTTGATACAATGGGCGGAGCTTTGAGCGTACTTGCCATGATGCATACTTAGGATTGTAACAGTACTCGGGCCAGCGTCGATGCAGTTTCACAAGTACACAAGTACAAATGTTCAGACAAGTACACATATTGAGAACCTACCTCTATTTCTACAAACTGAGGTTGTCCAAAGATTTCTTCACAACATGTAAGATATTAATTGATTGTGACCTGACTACAGAAACCCACTTCAGTTTTACGAGTGTAGCAAATGCAATATTTCACATGTAAATGGTCACATTTACGCGGCACGCTTTAATATACGATTGATTTAATCTTTACTTATAGACTCTTATAATGCATTTTCCATAATCTCGTTTCATATATTGCATCACAGCTGATGTTGGGAGGAACATGATCCTGACCAGTGGCTGCATCATCAGCACATTCTGCCAGGTGAACACGTGTGAAGCCGTACCGGAGAACACGGTTGTGTACGGCCCAGACTGCAGCAGGCGTGTGCAGAGCGAAAAGCCACAGGTTCCCTTTTAAGCCTCAAACGCCTGTTAGCTGCTGGATAAAATTCAGAGATGGGTCACCGTTATGTTTTTGTTTTACAGTCGCAGACGCTACAGCTCGATTTCCTCATGAAGATTCTTCCCAACTACCACCGCCTGAAGAAGACTGAGAAAGGAAGCAGCATGCCTTTAAAAAACTAACAGAGCACATGCAAATGGAACAAAATCTCCTTCAGCCTGACAGATCTGCACTCTGGATACTCGAACACACTTATGCACCAGCTTTCTACTTAAATGTCATAATCATCGTTTTGCACAAAAATGACAATCCTCCTCTTCTGCACTTTTACTTTCAAACCAATTTTATGATTTTCTGTATTAAAAAGTTCTGCATGCAAATTTTACATTTACAATAATCACAATATGCTTTAAAATAAATGCTTTTTAAAAATCAAAGATTTTTTCATAATTTAATTAACAAATTCTTCTTTTGATGATCTTTCATTTCTAACCACAAGAGAGCAGTGTTGAGCAGCTGTCTGTAACTTCCTTGCTTTCTGCTCCAAAGCCTGTTTTATCCAGCTCAAGCAGTGCTTATTTTTAATTCCACTAAAGATGGACTTCAAATGTGTTTTTGTGCTAAAGATACTCCACTTTTTAAGTTCAGATGTAAAAATAGTCTCGAGATGGCACGGATTAGTAACAAAGTTTAGTTCATCTTTTATCAAGAGCAATTACTGAGCAAATGTGAGACACCCCCTCCCCTTGCTAAGAGTTGGTGGCGGTCCCTAACCCTCCCACGACGGCTTTCCAAATTGGTACTGTGGGTGCACTGGGAATTCCACAGCTTTTGTAATTGACACGGGTGTGGTTGTGACTTGTGTTTCTGAATAATGCCTGGCGCCCTTCCTTCTCATGTCTAAGCCCCCCCAGGGGCGGTGCTCCCATCTGCGCTGCACACTCACAAGGTTTCTGTTGTGGATGGATGCTTGGGAGTAGCGCATCACCGTCTGCAACACCTGACATGAAAGGTTCAGATCTACAGTTGTCTCCTCCAAGACCCCGTTGGTTGCAAAACACGGGAGGTTTAAAGGCTCTGAGCCGTGCTCAGTGGGGCCAGCAGCCGTGCACTGCTGCAGCTCCCTGCAGGAGGCCCACACAGCTGCTGTTGCACACTGCCAATACTCATTTGAACATGTCACGGTGGAGTCCCACGAGGAGTCCACTTCAACCAGGGGCTAATTATTTTGGCAGCGGAGTGCAGCAGGGGCCACGCCTCGGCCCCTCTCTCTTCTCACTTTTGTTCTTTTTCCACTGGCGTCATTTTCATCTGGTTGGGTGCTGCTGAGGCATCACTCTTCGTTAATCTGACAGGAAGAACAGATGCTGCACACAGTTGTGCAAAAGTGCAAAGTGACAAGAAGCTTGTGTGGCTGATAAATCAGCAGCGGGCAAAATGGCTGTGATGATAAAACACAAGGCAGGAATTTGAGAGGAAGTTCAAATGTTGCTTTATATTTAGAAGCAGCTATTTATACCTTTGAGTGTTTCAGCATCGTTGTGAATAAATTATCCCGTTTCTAATAGTTTTTTGTGTGCATCACATGGGCATTGGCTTTTTATAAGATTTTAAGTCCCTCATGGGTTAGTTTCTCTTCCGAACAAAGAGAAACTAGTATAAAAATGTATCATTTTGAAACAGGTCTAAATAAGTAAATTAGTTCCCTCCACTCCTTAGCAGACTATCATGGTGCTCCGAGTAGCACTCGGTCCCCTTCACTGGCCACCAGTTGCTTAGGGAGGATAAAGGCTTTCTGACAGGTGACCTTTACATCCAGGTCTGCTCCACCATTTAATACTGAAATGTGACCTATAGGCAGCAGCGATTTCCACTGCAGTCCCACAGAAATAATTAATCACATGACAACAGGGACCCAGAAACACTGGGTGCTCTTCTTCCTTATGACCTCACCGGGGTTGTTAAACAATGTCAAGATTAAAGCAGCAATCCGGAGTTTTCCCCTTTTCAGGAATTGTGTAGGATTTTTTTTAGAAAATACCCTTACCCTGTTCTTGATATAATGTAGGCAAAAATGTTGATTTATTAGCCACACACACACACACACACACACACACACACACACACACACACACACACACACACACACACACACACATGAACAAACCTTTGTCCCCGCTCTATAAATAATACAAACACTTTTTTGTCTACTTTCTTTAACATAATTCCGACGCACAACCAAAGTCCCACACTCATTACAACATTCATAAACAAAAAGTAATGTTAGTGGGAGGAGAGCTGCTTATCCACACATTCTGAGGGCCACGCCTTATTATAAACACTTTTGTTTCCTTACAGTGAACTGAATAAGTACACTGACATTTCTTTATTTTACTAAATTACTCTTAGAGGCAGACACAAAGCAGCATGGCAGACTGACCGGTTGCTGGTCTCGGTACAGTTTGCTGCACGGCTTCATTTCCACATTCTGCCAGCCTCATCGCTTTGATGAGAGGCTCCTTGTGTTTACTACACCAAGAATAAAATGCTTCTACGCTGTGCTCTTTCTTAACCGCTTAATCTTTGAGTACCTTAATTTGATCATGTGACGAGTTCACCTCTTCTTCGGTGGTTTTTGAGTAAACATATTTTGATAGCAGAGCTTGATGAGTTCACTGGACTCCATAAATCTCCTTAGTCACCAGGGGTCTCATTTATCAAACGTTACGTAGAATCCTCACTAAAACCGTACCTAAGCTCAGCAAAAAAAAAAAAAAAAAGTACTTACGCCAAGTAGTTTGGTTTGCAATTTCACAGAAGCAGAAATTGAGGTACCTGTGGTTGAGGTGGAGAAATGACAGGAAGTGCTTTTGCAAAACAAATAAGAGAAAATCCACGGAGTGGCATAGCGTTGCTGAAGCCGTCAATGTTGTGAATTCTTCAGAGAGATCTGTGGCGGTTATATGAAAATGGCCCAATCAGGATTCGATCCCCAGACTCCCGGGAGAAAGTCACTCACACTGACCAGTCAGCCAAACAGAGATCTCCCTTGTCCATGTAGCCTGTGCACATGACCAATCGGGTCACAGTGACAGGACTCACACACTGTCACAGACGCATGACATTCTGTCTCAATCTGTCCCCCGTCCGTATTCTGAGCTTCAGGCTGTGTGTGTGTGTGTGTGTGTGTGTGTGTGTGTGTGTGTGTGTGTGTGTGTGTGTGTGTGTGTGTGTGTGTGTGTGTGTGTGAGTGCGTGCATGTGTGTACGCGAGCGTGTGGGGGGTCTTGTTCTGTGTGAAAACGAAGCAGTACAAGTGACAATGCTGCAGGATTTCATAATTGTACCCTTCTCAGCAGCAGCACTGCAGGTGCTCTCCATGTCCAACATGTGCGTAAGCCAGGTCCTTAGTCAAAGTAAAGTTGCTCACATTTTTCCGCTAAGTTTTCTTTCATAAATCCCAAAGTTTGCATCGAAAGTTGCTTATGCCGTTTTCCGACCAATAAGTAACACAAAGAAATCGTATGTGCCATTTTAGACCTGGGACTATTTTATGACAAAGCACAGATATAAGCTTCCGCTGAAGGGTGCAAGGACATGACGCGACCTGAGTGAAGTTGGCCCCCCCACCTTCGTCAAATCCAACAAAAGTGGTATCAAACCATTGTGCTACGTTTGTGCTGGTTTGTGCTGCAAAAATTTTCGTTTGTGCTACTATCGTTTTCAAGATATTAATAAAAATTTCTGGAGGTCATCAGAGTTCAACCAGCCCCCCCACATTAATGGAATCAAACAAAATTGGTGTCAATCAACTGTTCTACGTTTGTGCTGGTTTGTGCTGCTAAAATTGTCATTTGTGCTGCTTCTGTCTTGAAGATATTAATGAAAATGTAAAGGTCAAAAGGTCAACCAGCCCCCCCACCTTCTTCAAATCCAACAAAAGTGGTATCAAACCATTGTGCTACGTTTGTGCTGGTTTGTGCTGCAAAAATTTTCGTTTGTGCTGCTTTCATTTGGAAACCAAAAGTTTCTAAAGCTCAACCAGCCCCTTTCTTTAATGTTTAATTTTAAAGATATTAATAAAATTCCATCCATCCATCTATTCGCTTCCACTTATCCTTCTAAGGGTCGCGTGTGGGCGCTGGAACCTATCCGAGCTGTCATAGGGCAAGAGGCAGGGTACATCCTGGACAGGTTGCCAGTCTGTCACAGGGCCAACACAAGGGACAGACATCCATTTACACTCGCAGCTATGGGCAATTTGGATTAACCAATTAACCTATCCCCACAAGCTGCATGTCTTTGGAGAGAACCCACGCAAACACGGGGAGAACATGAAAACTCCACACAGAAAGACCCTGTAACAGTGCTAACCACCGTGCTGCCGTAATAATAACATTAATTAACATTGATGAAGAAATGTAAAGGGGCATGCCAGTAGGTGCGTATCAGTTTATAACTAGATAAGGTATTTTGAGCCAATAAGCTGGTTGTGGATCACTGACTACCATGTTTCGTAACATTACCTTACTCCATCTAGTGTGCTACCAGCAGGGTATATGGTAAAATGCTAACGGTTGTTAAAACATTAACCTAATAATATGTGAACTGTAGCTCTTAAGTAAAATGCTAATATTAACAAAAGTGCTGTCATTTGGATGTGGGCTGTCATGAGCAAGTTGTATAAAATTAACATACACAGGAGTGCACTTCAGTGACTACGTTTACATGCAGCCAATATCCGGGTTATGATCACGTTAAGGTCAGTATTCGGGTTTCTGAGTTGATCAGAATAACCCGTTTACAAGCCCGTTTACAAAAAATAGAAAGAGTTCAATTCAATTCAATTCAAGTTTATTTATAAAGCGCCAAATCACGACAAGAGTCGTCTCAAGGCACTTCACATAATAAGCATTCCAATTAACAGTTCATTAAGCCAATCAGAAATAATGTTTCCTATATAAGGAACCCAGCAAATTGCATCAAGTCACTGACTAGTGTCAGTGACTATACAGCAATCCTCATACCAAGCAAGCATAAAGCGACAGTGGAGAGGAAAACTCCCTTTTAACAGGAAGAAACCTCCAGAGAATCCTGGCTCAGTATAAGCAGCCATCCTCCACGACTCACTGGGGATCGAGAAGACAGAGCAGACACACACACACACACACACACACACACACACACACACACACACACACACACACACACACACACACACGCACGCACGCACGCACGCACGCACTCACACACACACACACACACACACACACACACACACACACATGGACAAGTAATGTGTCTACAGTTATATTATGATGTCTTAGTAAATATTCTATTTGGTGAAAGATAAATTTTATTGTATTTATCCTAGTGGATCTATAATTAAACGGATAAACTAGTATTAGCACATCAAAAGTCAAGGAAACCAAAAAGTTATTATCAGGAGAGAGAGAATGTTTAAGTAGTTAGCAGCAGTGTGCTAGTCGATGGCCCCCTCCATGAGGCCACCACAGCTCAGCAGAACGTCATTGTAGCTTCTTCTGGGGAGAAAAACACTTACAGAGAAAATAAAGTTAACAGCTGAAATTGCACAAAATAATACAGTTAAAGAGCAGACTGTAGAAGAAAGCAGTAGAGTGTGAGAAGTGGCCAGTGTATCCTCCAGCAGTCTAAGCCTATAGCAGCATAACTACAGAGATAACTCTGGATAATCTATCCTATTTAGATGTAGGCATGTTGGAGGCAGGGCAAGGGAGAGCCGTCTTTACCGACTGTACACTCCACCTCCCTGTACTCCCCCACTTGTCCAGATTTAGGCTAACATCAGATTTTAACTATAAGCCCTATCAAATAAAAATGTTTTAAGTCTATTCTTAAATGTAGACAAAGTGTCTGGCTCACGGACTAAGGCTGGGAGCTGGTTCCACAGGAGAGGAGCCTGATAACTAAAAGATCTGCCTCCCATCCTAATTTTAGATATTCTTGGAATCACCAGTAGACCTGCAGTCTGAGAGCGAAGCGCTCGGTTAGGAACGTAAGGATCAATCAGATCACTGATGTATGATGGAGCTTGATTATTAAGAGCTTTATATGTGAGAAGAAGGATCTTAAAATCTATTCTGAATTGAACAGGTAGCCAATGTAGGGAAGCTAAGACAGGAGAGATATGATCTCTCTTTTTAATTCTCATCAGAACTCTAGCTGCAGCATTTTGGACAAGCTGAAGACTTTTAACTACATTCTGTGGACTTCCTGAGAGTAATGAATTACAGTAATCCAGTCTTGATGTAATAAATGCATGAACTAGTTTTTCGGCATCACTTCTGGAAAGTATGCTTCTAATCTTAGCAATATTCCGAAGGTGGAAAAAGGAAATCCTACAAACTTGTGTAACCTGGGATTTGAATGACATGTCCTGGTCAAAGATAACACCAAGGTTCCTTGCGTTGTTCGCGGAGATTAATGTAA